AAAAAAAAAAAATAGGTTAATGGGTACCTCAGCCATTTGTCCCAGACCTGAAACCTAACAGTTACTAAAGGTGGCTAAAGACAGCCATTAAAATATTCCAAACTCTTGACTCTGGTCTCTGAAGTTCCAGTTATCTAACTAGCCTTGCAGACAGTCAATGGAAGGTGTTATGGGAACCTTCAAAGGTCCTGTGGCCTACATGGCTTGGCCTCTCTGAGGTGAGCCAGCTTTGTCACCTTAACTGATGACAGCAGGCCTCTGTCAGGGATGTCCTCTGGGTCTTAGAGGAGATCAAAGGATGGAGAGAATGCTGGCCAGGCTGGGAAATGTGGGGGCAGTGGCCTGGAGGCCACTCCGGTTGGCACCTGTGAGGGCTGGTTTTTATGCCTGCAGAGGCAAGGATGAAGTGACAAGACAGTCCTCAGACAATAGGTTGGCATCAGATGCAGACCTGCGGTTCAGGTTCTCAGCACACAGTGTTCTGATCCCGGGACAGGGTCACCTGTCGCCACATACACCCAAGCACCCTGGTCGGTTTGTGGCATTCTGTAAATTACCTTGCACAGGACAGTGATTTGAAGCAACACTTGATAAAAGAAAAACAGTTTGGTACAGCCACTCCCTGCCTTGGTGACAGAATTCATGGGCAAGGGCCAACTTGTCCTTGGGACCTCCAAATTCCACACACAGTATGCTGACACATGGGGCTGGGGAGAGGCAGGACAGGGAAGGACTGGGCAGCGAGGCGGCAAGCTTTGGCTCCAAGTGAAAAGGGGGTGAGCAAGGGAAGGAGTGATCCCGTGTATTGTGAGGGCTATCTAGGCTGCTTCAGTGGAGCTAAGGTCGACGTGTGGCCACCAGCTGGCTCGGTTGTCCACAACCGTAACGGCGGTGGGGAGAAGTCCATTGGTTAGAAGGGGAGTCAACAGGATGGGGGGAGATGAGCAAAAAGCCTCAGATGACCATGCTTCAGGTCCAAGCAGCTCGGAGTCAGGTGCCAACAGGCAGAGTTCCGCATGGGGCAAGTGAAGTCTACCTTTGGGTTTCCGGGTGGACGTGGGGCAGGAGCTGGGGAGGGACGGTGGGCTGCAGACTCAAACCCGGGACTACTAGTGTGTAATTAGGAGAGTGTTGCTGGCTCATTCAGGCTGGCTCCTGGATGCCTCCCCAGTGGCTTTCCGGATTGCAGGACCTTGCATTCTCTGGTTGCTCCATTCCCTGCCCCTTTTCTGGATAAAGCTGGATGGGAACAGGCCTAAGTGCCTCAGGAGCAGCCATGCATCCTTCTCTCCCTGAGACATGAGCTGACTGACTTCAGTAACCCCCAGCAGCTTTCCCCACCACTGCAGGGCTAGGAAGTGGCAAGCAAATCTTGACACTGTAACTTTAAGTGGAGGAACCCGTAACCCTGAGTTCACTACCACAGAAAGGAAACAGGGCTAGGCTGTGGGGAGCCACTGCTGCGGCTCTGACTGCTGACAACACGAAAACATTGTGCCATGAGAACTGGAACTCGCAGGCCGTCCCTGCAGCAAGTATGGCCCAGGCTCAGGCCCTGGTCCTATTCTCATCACTGCTGACCATCTGTGTCTCTGAAGGTGAGTGGAGAGGCCAGAGAAATGCAGAGCCATAGGGGTGGAGAGAGCGTGGAGACACAGGCACTGACCTCCCTGTCTTTGTTCCTCAGGGAGCCCCGAGGTGTGGGTGCGAGTCCAGATGGAGGCCACCAGGCTCCCATCCCTCTCCCTCTCAGTTCGCTGTGGGGTCTTAGGAACCAATTTCATCTCCCTGGTAACAGTGATCTGGGAAAGATTTGTGGATGCCCAAGGGACCAAACTAGCTGTGTTACATCCAGAACTTGGCACCCAGCGGTGGGGCCCCACCTCCCAGGCCCGCTGGGAAACCTCAAACAGCATCTCTCTCACTCTGACCCTGGAACAGTCCAAAGCAAAAACGTCCCTGGCTAACACCACCTTCTGCTGCGAGTTCGTTATTTTCCCTCACGGTTCCAGGGTTGCCTGTGGAGAGCTGCATAGCTCAGATCCAGGTGTGTCTGGGGAGAAGAGGGGGACAGCGAGGATCTTGACACTGGCTGCCCATCTGACACCTTTATTTGTTCCTAGGACTCTCTGCCCCAACTTCAGTCCCTATTCTTCAAGCAAACCTGGCCAGGATCTTGGGGACCTCAGGGATTCTCCTGCTGGGTTTCGTCTTCATACTCTATCTCCTGTGGCGGCAGAAGCATTGGTAAGAATGGGTCCAGTAACATCCCCACACCACTTGGCTAGACGCCTTCTGCCCCTGACTCCTCCTCTTCTGTCTCCCAGGTGTTTCAGTAAATCTCAGCCATCCCCCATCAGCACCCGGGCACAGATGCAAGCTCAGGTGAGGCTTGAAGGATGGTGTCTGGAGCAGGGTACCAGGGGGTCCCCCACAGCCAGCCAGCAAAGCATCCCTGGCCACTCCCCCCCCCCCATTCAACACCTGGATGAGGCTACGGTTCACGTTGACCAGCAGCTGCCCCAGTTCACACCACTCCCCACCACACCAACCAACCCCCGGTGCCTGTCTCCTCAGCTTCTCCGATCACCCTCTGGACACGGCAGCTTCGTCTCTACTGAGAATGGATTGTATGCTTCAGCAGGGGAGACACTTCCCCACCCTGTTCCCAACAGCCTTGCTTCCTCTGACTGTCTGGAGCACGGTACCCCAGGAAAATGCTCAGAAGTTCAATGGCAGGCACCCTCGGTCCCCTCCAGGCCTTTGGGACATCCCTCTGCTGGTGTCTTCATCCTGGGCCTCTTCATGAATCTTGTTTTGGTTTTAGGCCTCTGATGAGATCACACTCTGCTGGCTAGGATGTGGTCAGTGTATGCGCATGTATGGACAAAGGTGTGAGTGGAGAGGTATGACGAAGGCCCAGTTACATCCTGTTTTGCACATAATTCCACCCTCCCAGATGATGTCTTTAATAAGGTCATTAAAGTGATCCTTCTGTTTGGGACTTTAGTTTTATTTATCTTTTGCTTCTTTACGAGGGTCAGGGGCAGATTCAGTCCCTTGGGAGGAAGGACCCAAATTAAAGCCAGAAGTGACTGGGTCTGAGACCCAGGCTGAACCTGTGGTTGGTCCTTGCTGAAGGACACGAGGAACGGGGTCTCCTGGGGCTTTAACAGGCTTTTCTGACCTGGCCTCCTCATGATGGACCTCCAGACGCTGCTCCCCATTGGCCACTCAGAGGCAGGCAGAGAGGCCTGGCAGACACAGGGATTGAACACAGGTTCATCCATCTCAAGTTGTTCCACCCAGGAACTGGGTTCCCCTGCATGAGACAAGCACCCCAGCCCCCCTGCGTCATCCTCAGAGGAGATAAAATGAGTGAGACATCCTTGGGAGCCACGAGGACCTCAGGTGTGGATTCCTGGGTCACTCTAGCATGGTGACCCACAGAGCTTGATTACATGAGAGGCTCCCCTTGCTTGTGGGGGTGCATGAGGAGGGTGCAGAAGCCCAAGGAGCATGGAGGTAGCAAGGCAGGGGACTGAGCTGTTGTTTGGACTGGCCCGTGTAGGTTTCACCACCCTTGAGCAGAGCCTGAGATACAGAGAAGCTTGGGAGAGAGGCAGGAGGTTGGTTAGGGGAAAGACTGAGCCTGAGCATTCCTGGTGGGGCTGCCTTCCACCCACATCCCTGGAGCTCCTGTAAGTGGTCTGTGTCTACCAGGTGACAACTAACACTGCTTCTGAGGGGTCAGATGGGCCCCACAGGGCTGTAGCACCAGAGGCCAGGAAGCCATGGATAAGGGGATATCCTCAAAGAGGCTGCGAGTGGGGAGAGTGACCTGGAATTCGTAGCCCCGCCCGCCCTCCGCTGGGATGGGAACCTGGACTATCCCCAGCAATTACGAAGAAACTGCCAGCATTTGCTCCGTTCCCCACCAGTTCACGTCTGGGAAGACCAGCGACTGCGAGAATCCTCCACTGACTCCTCCTGCTCCAGTCACCCCAAGCCTGTTTCCTCGGTGCAGCCTCTGCTGTCCTCAGCCTCACTCCCTTGACAACCCTGCTTGAGGCTGTCCCTCGTCTCCCACCTTCCCCATCCCTGATGCCTGACCCCACCCTGCAGCTTGCACCTAACCCTGGGTGTCCGTACCCCAGCATAGCCCAACTGTCTCCCTCTGTCTTCCTCGTGGTTCACTGCCCCCCGGAAGTCTAGTTCGTCACTGTCACATCCTGAGAAGCCTGTGCCCAAGACCTTTCTTTCTCAGCCCAAAACCCTGCACCAGAGACTAGCTTATAATAGCTTTGAGACTGGAGGGGTTCTGAGACCTCAAATTAATGGTTAGCTCTTGGACCTCAAACCATTGTCTAGTGCATTATTCTCAGGGCCTCAGCTCCAGTCTTGTGGGGTCACCATCTACAGGAAGTGGCCGGAAGACTGTCAACAATGACAGCAAGCTATGACATATGAAAACCAAATCAGATCTGAGAGCCTGGCCAGCAGGACCAGGGAGATGGCCTTAATCAGGATGATGTGCGGTGGGAGGGGTCTGATTGGAACAGTGGGATGCGCCTCCTTCTTCCTATTGCCTGAGATTTTTTAATGTCCCATGGGGGAGTCAGTCTATGGCCTGACTGTGGCCACATCCCCCAAAGCACAGGACATTGGGTCTTTTGGCAAAGTTATAGTGAAGGGGACAGGGTTCCCAAACTGAGGTTCCAGCCAAGCTCTGCAGAATGTAGCACAATGGATTTCACAGATCCACGCTTAAAAAAAAAAAAAGAAAGAAAGAAAGAAAAGAAAACAGATTCAGCATCTGTGAAATACATCAACTCACTCACAAGACAGGGCTGGCTGGAAAGAGTCCAAGGCCTGAGAGTTGCTAAGCCACAACCACCGTCTGGAAGGGTGAGGGGACAGAACAGGACATGTGAAGGATGAGAAAAGGCAGAAGCTCAAAGTGGAGAGTGGAAGTCCAACCGGTCAAGGCCAGGACAATGTCTCCCAGCAGAAGGTGGGGGCTGGGCCAAAAGACAGGAGCATCTATCTTGTCTGTGACCACAAGGGAAGGTCCTCAATGTAGGAAAGCAGAATCCACAAGGCAACAGAGAGATGGGAAGATCCCATCCTCCCTCAGTGATCCTCGGGAGGCCCTGGGGATTAGGCCACTGTACCCTAAACTTTTCTGACTCCTCAGCACCCCAAAGTCCCTCCACAGGGCCTCCTTGCCTGCCTGATGTCTCTGCTGGTCTCATTTCCTGAAGGGAATCAGGCCATGGCTTGGATCCTGCTTCTGTAGCTGCCAGCTGCATGCCTGCCACCTGATGAGTGGTGGGGACACTCTTAGAGTCTCCTATGCTTGTGGTAGGGAGACTCCCAGCTTCCACCGATTCCCACATCTACTGAAGAAGCTCAAGAGTCAGTGAGTCAGAATGTCACAAAGAAATCTCCCAGAAACTACCAGTTCCCTCTTCAACTGTCCACATGTTGCTAAAAACAAAAGAACAATGCTACTCACAAAAACGGACTAAATCTAAGTAGAAAACTATATATCCCCTTCGACTTCCTTCCCTCCGAACCAAAAGTGAACTCTGACAGACAGCTCCCACCCATCACCTCTCCTCTAGGACTTTTTCAAAATGCTTGGTATTTTTATTTTGTTTTTCTGAGATAAGTTCTCAAGTCATCCACGCTGGCCTTTAACACAAGATGTAGCCAAGGATGTAAAAAGATTTCTGTTAAGAGATGTGCTCAACTGTGACTGGGATAGTTGTAGGTGTTCCAGGAAGGACCATTGTAACCTTTGTGTAAACTCCACTCCTGCCCCGATAACCGTCTTGAGGTTTCAGGAAGAATGTACATGCGGACAACTGTACCCACTCTGTGATCAGACCATGATCTTGTGAAATGAAATTGTATGGGAATTGTAATCTTGTGGCTTTTGTGGGTTTTTCCTTAAAAAACCCCCATGTGGCTGCAGTAAGATGCGACTCTTGCTCTTTGGAGCAGAGGAGCCCTTCTGTACGGTCGCTCCAATAATAAAACCTTGTGCTGTTGCATCAACTGGACTGGAGTCGGGGTTCTTGGGGTGCCCACTTGAGACCCTAAATTTTGGGGTCCAACAGACACTCCTTTAGATCACTGGCCAGACCATCATCATGGCAGCCTGCTTGTGTGAACACTTCAGGGATGCCCAGAGGAGACACTGTTAGCGTGTAGGCATCTGTACTGGCCTGCCCTTAGGGTCCTGACAGGGTGTATCCTCAGCTGCAGCCACTAAGAGCGCCCCCTTGTGTGCATTTGCCAGCTTCCCTTATAAAAGGCAGGCCCTGCGCGGCTCTGGCCTCTTTCTCTTCCTCTCTTTGTTCTCCTCCGTCTCAGGGACCCATCTCTGCCCTCTTCTCTGCCCCTTCTCTCCCCTCCCCTCAATAAACCTCCCACGTGGGCCCTGTTATATGGTGTGACTCCTTCCTGCTGGTTTTAAAATACAACAGCCACCAACCACTCCAGCTGTCAAGTGACCATGGCTGCTGCTGGATGCAGTAAATATGGAGAAAAGATACCAGTGAGTGATCCTGATCACTGGGGTGGGTCTTTCTGGTATTCTTTCCAGGAGCCTCTAACAATGTAGTTAAGAGACAAGAAGCATCTTTTGCTGGAGGGGAACACAGCAAAAGGTGCCTTTTCCTGAACAACTGTTTTAAGGTGGAAGGCGGCTTCAGCTGGAGATGTCAGCGACAGGTCAAAGACCGAGAACTCATTGCCCGCCTGCGTGACCTCCAAAGCTTGTGATTGTTGTTGTTGTTGTTGTTTGAGACAGGGTTTCTCTGTGTAGCCCTGGCTGTCCTGGAACTCACTCTGTAGCCCAGGCTGGCCTCGAACTCGCAGAGATCTGCCTGCCTCCCGAGTGCTAGGATTAAAGGCGTACACTGCCCAGCCCAAAGTTAGTGATTTTTAAAACATTTAAATGCGCACAAAATTAGAGGTATTTCTCGGTGTCCCCTAGGCTCGCCACTCGCCCTTTTCTCTGTCTGTTACTCGTTCTACAGTCTCTGGCGATCTCTCTTTGCATAGCTGTGGATGAGAGGAGTAAAACCGGGGAGGCAAGATGGCTCGGTGGGTAAAAGGGGCTTGCTGCCAGGCTAGATGACCCAGGCCTCATTCCCTGGGATCCACATGATGCAAGAAGAGAACCGACTTCTGCAAACTGTCCTCTTACCCCTGTGGCTGCACAAAAAGTGCCCAAGAATGAGGTGATCGGACTCTTTCAACAATGACTGAGACAAATAAGTATTGCCTTAAAAAAGCAACGTATAAACTATGCAACAGAACACAAAAAGGAGGCTCAAAATGAGCACACCATGCTTGTGGCCTTCTGATTTTTCCATATGGCATGGACCCCCAAAATATATTTGGAGTCAGTAAAAAATAATCATTTTTATCTTTACTAAACAGTACCCTTGCCCACCCTCTCTGTGGAGGAGGCTGGAGAGGGCTTCTGCTTCTATCCAGTGTCTTTATTGTGGGCTCCCACCACACATCAGCCTAAGTTTTCCTTGGTCCTTAAAACCACTCTCACTGGGACTGGAGAGATGGCTCAGCGGTTAAGAGAGTTTGCTGCTCTTGCAGAGGACCCGGGTTCAATTCCCAGCACCACACAGTGGCTTACAACCCTCTGTAGCTCTAGTTCCGGGAGATCCAATTCCTTTTTCTGACCTCCACAGGCAGCAGGCACACATGTGGTGCACAGACATACATGAAGGGGACATACATGTAAACACCCATTTACTTACACAGAATAAAAAAATAAGTGAATCCGAAATTTTATAAAATGAATTTTTAAAAATTAAGAAAAACTCAACTGCTTCCTTCTATGATACCTGCATTCTCCAAAGGCAGATGTGTTAGATCAGACTCAAGCTTGGAATTTTTGATTCAGGACAAGCTTGAATGTGTGTAGGCTTCACTATGTCTGCCTATCCTGGGCTGCCATGTGCCCACACATCTTT